CTCGGCGCGGCGGGGCGGAGGCAGCGCCCGGGAGCAGCCCCAGCAACCACAGCAGGGGCAGCCAGGACGCCATGGCGAGGGCGGCCCGCGACCCGAACCCAAGGACGGCTCGGACCAACTTGGCCGAGCAGCCGGCGACAGAGGGACCTGAGTCCCGGCCCGGCTCTTAGGGCGGCGGAGCGCCAGCCAATGGGCGTCCGCTAGGGGCGCCTGCGCGCTCGCTTGTTTGCGCCAGGCACGTGGGCCGAGCCAGAGGCGCTGGCGGGTGAGGTCCCGCCCCTCGGGGACAAGCTGGTCCTTGCACAACACGCGTCGGCGGGTAGGGGGCTGGAGCCCCAGCCAGGGGATAATCCTTTAGGTCTCTGAAGCTAGCCTGAGAATAAAAATAACTACTAACATTTACTGCATGCTTATTATATGTTAATATATAATCATCGTAGCGATCCTGTGAAGTAGATGTGATCCCAATTTAATAATTAAGGAAATAGAGGCCTAGAGAGATTAACCGGTTTACCAAACATTGGCTAGGTGCTTGGAGCTGGGCTTCAACCCAGGGAGTTGGCCTCAGAGGCTGGATTCGCAGCTTGATTCCTCTTTGAGGCCCCTCTTCTCATCGGCAAAATGGCAGGTAATGTTCCCTGGACTGGCAGTTCCTGGGGCTGTTGTGAGGAATAAAGGCAATCATGCAGGCATTCCGTTCTCAGCGCCTAGCAAGAGGACGTGTTGGGTAGGACAAGGGACTCAAGGTCCGGGCCACTCTTACTAAATGCTATTCTTGCTAATGTTAAAATGTGGCACAGTATTTTGCAGACCATACTTTGCAGACCAGCTGTAAACAGGATGAGCTTGACAGAAACCCAGTCCAGTAAGTGTTAGCCAACTGAATGAAATCAATGAGTAATTGACCAAATAGTGTATGTAAGCAATGACTAAGCTTCCAGGAGACAGCTTTGGGTATGACTCCCCCCTTCTTTACTTGCTGTGAGTAAATAAAACTACCTTGCAACAACCACATCTTCTTGAACAGAACACCCCAAGCAGGGAACTCCTTGAGTTGGGTAACAGAGGCATGAACAGTTATATTAAGCATAGCGCTGCCTACTGGAGCTCACAGTCTAGTGGAGAAACAGGTGAGAAAAGGAAATATTCCTGCAAGATGTTCCAAGCTGAGGGAGAGGAAACAGGGAAGAGAGAGTTTAAGGGAACTGAGGAAATCACAGAGTGAGTGGGGCGTTAGTTTGCACTTGGAGAGTGGGGGAAAATGATTCTAAAGAACATCTAGTCCAGCCCTGGCCTGCATGGCTCAGTTGGTTGGTGCGTACACTTTTTAAAGGGCTGATGCTGTTGCACTTTGGCTAGCACACTACAACCTGAGGGCCAAATCTGGCCGGCTGCCTGTTTTGGAGATAAAGTTTTATTAGAACACAGCCCCATCCATTTACTTATATATTATCTATAATTGCTTTCACATGATAAAAGCAAAGATGAGCCTTGTAACAGAGACCATATAGCTCACAAAGCCCAAAATATTTTACTATCTGATCCTCCACAGAAAAAGTCTGCCCACCCTGCTGTAGTGTTTCTCACCTGAGTTATGTGTAACTTAGAATGCAGCAGAATGCCAGGAGAGAAGCCAAAATATAAATGCTAAATATATCTTCCCAAGGGGCAGTTTAATTCAAAGATAATTTCAAGCATAATTTTTATAATAAAACAAATATGAAAATATTATGTAGAATGCAAATTTTGCATAAATTTCAAAAATAAAAGACTTTAAAGAAATTTCTGCCCAGCCTGTGTTGCTCAGCGGTTGAGCCTGAACCCATGAACCAAGAGGTAACTGGTTAGACTCCCTGTCAGGCCACATGCCCAGGTTGCAGGCTCAATCGCCAGTAGGGGGCGTGCAGGGGAAGCAGATGGATGTTTCTCATTGATGTTTCTCTCTCTCCCTCTCCTTTCCTCTCTCTAAAAATCAATAAAAACATATATATATATATATATATATATATATATTAAAAGAAATACAAGAGACATAATCTCTTTCTTAAAGAAAAAAAAGAAATCTCTCTCATGCCTTTAAGCACTGCTTCCCTCTACTACCTCAGCATCCCAGTCTCATACCTGAGCAAGATGCTTGTTTATGTTCCTCCACTCAAAGGGGAACTTGGGTGGGAAAGTTTGAGAAATGCTGTTTGTATTGGGAAAACAAAACAAAGTGGAAGTTTATGTGCCAGCAAATGGTGAGTGGAGATCTGAGGTGAACATTACCTATGCCAGCAGGTGAGGCAGGCTGTGTATAAGGGCTCTTACCACCCTATCTCACAGAATCAGTACACCTGGAAGACACATGTAGGCTTCTGGGTCAGACAGACCTGGGCTTGGTTCTGGCTCTCTAATTTACTACCTTTATGACCCTGGGTCAGTTACTTTACCTAGCTGAGCCTTCATTTCATCAGCTGTAAAATGGTGATTAAAATACATACTTCACAGGTGGTTATGAGGAGTTTAAGAAATCAGGCAGGGAAAGTGTTCTGCAAAGGTAACTACTATCATGTTAGCTAAATTTCCTGAATATATAAAGAGTGCTCAAAAATCAAGAAAAAAAAATAGTCAAAATCAATTGAAAGTGGGCAGAAGGCATGGGCATTTCAGAGAAAAGGAATAAATATAGCTTTTATATATATGAAAGATGAAACTTCACTCATAAAAGAAGTGAGAACACAATTCAAAAAAGATACCATCTTTCACCTACTAGATAGTAAAGATTTAAAAATTTGATAACATCCTATTGTTGAGAGCGGGGAAAGAATAATAGTTGTACAATATTGATGATAATGCAAATTGTGGAGAGTAATCAGCAATATCTATCAAAATTATAAATGCTTATGTTTAGACATAATTCCACTTCCAGGAATTTAAACTACAGAAATAGTTGCAATCCTAAGTAGATGAACAAGGATGATTTGGAGCATTGTTCTGTTTGTAAATGTCCAATAATAAATAAATAAAAAGAATAAGGCAGCTCTATTTATACTGATATGGAATGAGCTTGAGGCATGTTACATGAAAAAAGAAAGGAGCAAAACAGAGGTATAGCCCTGGCCTAGTAGCTCACTTGGTTAGAGCGTTGACCCAATACACCAAGGTTGTGGGTTCAACCCCTGGTCAGGGCACATACAAGAATCAAACAATGATGCATCAATAAGTGGAGCAACAAATCAATCTCTCTCTCTCCCACTTCCTCTCAAAAAAATTTTTTTTTAAAAATGGGTACAGCATGCTACTATCAGTGTAGTTATAAACATACACATAGATAATATATACACATATGCTCACATGTGCATAGGCTATCTCTGACCTAGTTCATACAATGGCCTACAAGGCTTACATGATATAACTTGCCTCTTGGCACCTTGTCATGACCCCTCTGATTCATCTCTCCCACAACTTTGCTCCACCTACACTGGCCACCTTGCTTTTCTGAGACACCCCAGGTATCTGTCTGCCTTAGAGCTTTGCAATGGCAGTCAGGTAAGTTGTCCTAAATGTCCATGGGGCTCACTTCTTCCCCTCCAACCCTTTGCTCAAATTTTTCCTTCCCACTGAGACCTATACTGACTACCTTAATTAAAACTACTTCCCTCACCCTTTATTTTCTCTACTCTTCCCCCCCCCCCACAGTACTTATCACCTGCTAACATTAGTCAGTGTGCTTAGGTGCTATGTTTATGGTTTATTGTCTATTTCCCTCTGATAGAATGTAAACTCTACAAAGGGTAGGGATCTGTTCTGTTCAGTGATATAAACCAAGCATAAAATACCTAGTAGGTACTCAATAATTATTTGCTGAATAAGAGAATGGAAAGATACACAAGACACTGGTAACAGTTGTAACCCCCAGGGAGGGGAACTGGGGTACTAGAGGTAAGGATGGAAAGAAGATTTACTTTTCAGTACATACCCTTGTGTACTTTGTACCATATGCTTGTACTAACTGGTAAAAATTTCATAAACATTTTTATGCTAGAACTGGAAGAAGTGACTACCTGGACTGAACCCTTCACCTGACATGCTGGTCCAGGTACAGAGCAGTTAAGTAATTTGCCTAAGGTTACATAGCTAGGATTTAAACCCCCATCTACTAACTCCAGAGCCCTAGCTCTTAACCATTAGCCACAGAGCCTTTGATTTGGGGCTCTGTCAGCCAATTTAATGTAGCATGATAGAAATGTCCAGGTATTCTAAAGGTGATGGTTTGCCTCTGATATTTTCCATTACAATGAACTCCAAAGGATGGTCTCAGTTCTTTTGACATATGAGATTTTGGCTGTACTTTGCTTAGCTTGACATAAATAGAAATACTGGGCTTTGGGATTCTCTTATGAGAACTGCACTGTCAAAACAAAGTGTTAATCTCCGTCCTTTGGTAGTTGGAAGCACAGAGTTCCTGAACCCTGCACTCCCAGATATTTCTTCTTCCAAAGCAGCCAAGAAGTCTGGATGAGCTGCTGGGTGTTGGGGGCTGAGGGAGGGACTAGAGGGCACTTGGTCTAGGAGTATTCCCAGGGGCTATTAAAGGCTGGTTGCTGAGTCTCTTGAAGATGGCTGACTGGTGCGAGGCCTTCTGGGTGTTGACTAGGTGGTGCAACCGCCGCCCCTGCTGCAGCCAATATAGCATCTCCACTTTATCATATTTCATCTTGTCCAGGTAGCGCCGCCCCTTGAATGTCACTGGCTCACCAAAGATCAACTCAATCTTCTCCAGGAGCAAAACCAATCGAGCCTCTATTAGATTAAGCTTCTTGTGTAGACTGTTTCGGATCTGATTCTCCTCCAGGAAATGACTCAGATCCACGCCAGTCTTTTGGAAGAAACGGTTGGGGTCAGAGGCCTGTCGCTCAAACCACTCCAGTTTCCCCAGCAACATCTCCCGAAGCTGAATGGGCTGCAGGGTCCGCTCCCAGGCACTCAGCAATGAAGGCAGCTGCCTCAGACGGGCGTTGGAGCTGTACTTGATGGCCATGTCCAGCTGGTCCTTCCTGGGAACCTCAAGCATGGACCACAACCGCTCTAGACGCTTCTGCAGGCTCAGGATTTTGTGGGGTTCTCCCAGGAGGCTGGTCCTCCTAGTTTCTAGACTGTGCCCCAGCACTGTGTTCCAATCCCACTCTCCTGGCACAAAGTCTGGCTCTTCGTCTTCTAGCAATGGAGGTGGCTGCTGAATCTTTAGGGAATCTCTGGCAGGGGCCACAATCTCCACAGGAACTTCCTCTTCATACATTTGGAAGATGACATGGAGAAAATCTGTCTCCTGGTTGGTGAGGTATTTGAAGTAGTCATTCACAGACAAGGCGGTTTTCCACCAGTTTATCCCTGAGGTCTTGTTTGACTGCCCCTCCCACCCTTTGCTTGCTTGGAGTGATGTGAAGGAGGGCATTCTATCAGTGTTGGACTGTGAAGTGTTTACTCTCTGGGAATAAAGACCAGCCAGCTTGGGGTTGATAACACAATACTGTTTTTCTTGACGCAGAAAGGCTGAGGTCAGGAACATTGACCAGTCTTTACTGGCTGCAGGCTCTACCAGGGGTCCCTGGTCAAAAGAGAAGTGGTCAGTAGAGACACGGCTCATCAACTCCTTGTAGACCTCTCTGATGCTATTACCAACAAAACGATCAATATCCATTTCCTCGATAATTTTGGGTTCCAGATCACCAGTCAGGTGGTTGTATAGGGCTCCCATCTGCTCAACGTGGAAGGAATCCAAAAACTTTCTCTCGGAGACCTGTACACCAGCTGCCTGGACCACGACCTGATTTCTTAGCTTCAAAGTAACAGTCACTGGTTGTGGATGAAGTGGAGGGGATTTGGGGGACTGGGGACCCCACTGCCCAGAGGCTGCTTCTTCCTCATTCAACATTCTCTGAAGCTCTTCCATGCGACGTGCTGCACCTGGGTGGTGGGTCAGGGCCCCCAGGAGCGGGCACACACCTGAGTCCATTGGTGAGCAGCGAGTCCACTCCAATTTCATGTTCTTCATTATCTGTTTCAGGTCCTCAGCCACCATGTCCTCTACTAGTTCTGGTTTGCTCTCTGCAAACAGGACAAGCGGGGTTAAGGGACGAGGGAGGATTGGAGGAAGGCCCAATTCATCTGCTAGCTTCCAGCCCTCACGCAGAGAGAGCATGGACTGGCCCTTCTGGAGGTGGGAATAGAGAGGCAAATGGGACGTGGGGAGAGACCCGCTGGTGAGAGCCACCGAGTACCTGGGCAGTGACACAATCTGTGAGGAAGTGAAGCTTTCACTCTTTTTTTTCATGGCGGGGAGCCAGCGGAGAGGCTTTCTCCTCTTCAGCTCAGGGATGGACTTCAATTCCTTCACTGGATCGGGTCTAGGCTCGCTGAGAAACTCTGTCGAGCGGCTGAGTTGGATGAGATAGGTCAAGTTGAGGTTGCAAGCTGACATTTGGGTGAAGCGGGCGCTGTGAGGCCTAAGAGGCCGTGGCTTGAAAGGCGCAGGGGTTCCGAAGGGGCGCAGCTTGTATATGTTGCCCTGGGCCTGCTCTATTTTCAGCAGGGCGCGGAAGTCGGCGAGCAGGCCGCGGTAGACCTCAGGGCTGGTGAGGAAGGCTGTGCAGTCCCTGGCGAGGCTAGCGGCCAACCGGGTGAGCGTGGCGGATTCCGTGAAGACATATGAGGACGTCGACATGGTCTTCAGCAGGTGCAGGTAGCGTAAGAGGAGCTGCTCGCAGCTGAGCAGCACGTAAACCAGCAGTCGCTTCCGCAGCCTCTGGTTGTTGTAGTGGCTCAGACTAGGTTCGGTGGGAGGTTCCTGCCAGCTGCACTTTAGCTCGTTCAGGATGACCTCTGTGAATCGCAGTCGGCCCTCAGGCGGCATCCGCTCCGCCGGCTCGCAGCTGGCCAGCCGCTTGGCCACCTGGCGGCACACCGATGCCACGGTCAGCCGCGAGACGGGTAGGGAAGGTAGCATCCGGACCTCCTGCGGGAGGCGCTTCTGGGACTCTGGGCGCGTCTCCTTGCTGGGGAAGAGCGACAGCGGACGCAGCAACCGGTGGTAAAACCGCTGCAGCTCCGGCTCCGGTTTAAAGGGCTCCATTTTAGCTCCGCCGGCGTCAGTCGTGTGGGTAGGCGGCCAAGCGGTTACTAAGGCAACCAGGGACCAAACGGCCAGAGTGCGCTTGCGCGGCCGGTGCCCGCCTAGTTTTGAACGTGGGGGGCGGGGCGGGCCTTGTGTGCACGCGCACCAGGAGGCGGGACAAAGTCTGGCTTCCGAGGCTCCGCCTCCTCGCGGTGCTGCTCGGGATTTCCGGTATTGGACTCTAGCAGTGCAGGTCGTTCTGCCTGTAACCGGGTCCGAGATGGCATCGGACTCGGGGAACAGTGGGAGCGCCTGCACGGTGAGGGTCGAAGCCTCGTGCGGGAGCCTCGTGGGACAGAGAGCCTCGACCCCTGGGGGTGATTGTTTACTCGAGAAGAGGGGAAAAGGCGGGCACTAGGGGAGAGGCCTGGGAACCCGGCGTGAAAACTGCGATAGTAGGAGGGCTCTTGGTGATAAGGTTGGAGGGTGTTAGTCCTGAAATGATGTTGAGTGATAATGAAGAAGGCGCTTGAGGAGGGGTCACGTGGGGCGTTTCCCCAGGGCTTTGGGGTGGTCTTAGGAAAGGTAGTGAAACAGGGTCATGCAAAGGGGTTCTCAGCTCTCATCGGCCGGTCCCTGCCGCCCTTGCAGCTGGAGTTCGCGGTGCAGATGACCTGTCAGAGCTGTGTGGACGCTGTGCGCACGTCCCTGCAAGGGGTGGCAGGTAAGAACCAGTAAATTTACGGCGAACCGTCCAGAGCCTCTGGGAGAGGTAGGCAAATCTCTTAGACCAACCCTACTCCCATTTTATAGATGCATAAATTGAGACCCAGAGAGAGGAAGGAATGTTCTCAGAATCACACACAGCCTCAGAGACAGAGCCTGGAGTACAGGTCTCAAACCTGCCCTGCCAGCAACTGCTTATCCTTCTGGTGTCTTAAACCTCAAGTGTCTGGAGAATGAGGAGCTAGGCTAGGTATAGCCCCACCTACAGAAGGAGTTCTTGCTTATGAAGCAGCATAGTCTTGACAAAGCAAGCAGCAGCCCCAGCCATGTTCCATCCTAGGCAACTCCTGGTTCTTTTTAATTTTTTTTTTTTTTTTAGAAAAGCAAGCAAGAATTTATTGACTGCAGTAAAAACACACTTAGGACAGTGAAACAAGGAAGGGCATAGAACAGGAAAGCCTAGGCTGGGCTGCTTTGGCTCACTGGGAAGTCAGAAAAAAGGGGGCCTTGGAGACAGGTTCAGGGGTTAGCCTGGATGAGCTGCTGCTGGCCACTGCTCCCTTGGTTGCAAGTCTGGTGGGGTCCCTTGGAGTTTAGGAGATGAGTTTAGGAGATATGCGCCTGTGGGGGGAGAAGACGGGAAAGGGAATGGCACAGGTGTACTCCTTGGAGGGAGAATGCCCGCTCCTTGTTCTTAAAAGTCAGCTAGCCAGCCCTGGCCCTGGCTGTGTAGCTTAGCTCATTAGAGCATTGTCCCCAAACATCAAGGTTGCAGGTTTGATCTGCGGCCAGAGCACATACAAGAAGCAACCAATGAAGGCATAAATGAGTAGGACAACAAATCGATGTTTCTCTCTGTCCCTCCCTCCCTCCCCCTTCCTCTCTCTGTCTAAAAATCAATAAAATAAAATAAAAAGCTAGGAAACTGGCCTGGAGGTGACCTGGCACAACCAGAAAGGCCTGAGAAGGCAGAGCCACCAGGCTGGCACTGGGAACTACCTTCCTCTGATTCTATTAAATGTTATCTCAGTCATTCAGCAGATATAGATCAGACACTAGGGGCTTTTTAGGGAGAAGGGTTCACAAGTATTTGAGGCACAGCCCTGCCTCAGGTAAAGATGAACACAACAAGCATTTCTCCTGGAAGAGCAGGTCTGGGAGGCAATGAGGTGAGATGGGTTCTAAAGCTGGAACAGTGGTGGCACTTGGCTCTGTATAGGGCAGCAGTGTGTCGTTAGTGTTAGGGGTATGTGCTCTAGAGTTAGAGTGTTTGGATTCAGATCCCCTCTTTGCCACCTTGAGGCACAGAGATCTCATATATGTTACTTTTTGTGCCTCTGTTTCCTCGATGTTTTGTTTTTTTTAATCATACAAGGACATGCTTTCCATTGATTCTAGAGAGGAAAGGAGAGGGAGAGAATCATTGATTGATTCTGAAGAGAGAGGAAGGGAGAAGGGGGGGGAGAGAGAGAGAGAAACATCGAATGGTTGCCTCACACACACTCCCGGACCGGGTATCGAACCCGCAACCTAGGTATGTGTCCTGACCAGGAATTGAACCCTTGACTCTTTGTTACACCGGATAACCACCGAGACACACTGACCAGGGCTCCTTAGTGTTTAAATGGGCATGCTAATGGAAACTACTCTGGAGGATTGTCTTGAAGAGTAAGTTAGTTAATTAGCACTTTAGAAAAGTCTTTGGCATAGAGTGAGAACGCACTAAGTCTTAGGAATTATGAGAGGAAGGGCTTACAGTAATTCTGGTTGGGCAAAGGAAGGAAGGAAGAGGTCTTGAAGCTGGATTTGCTATGTGTTTGGGGATGGTGGGCAAGGTCTGAGGAGACTGAGCCACTCCACCGAGAGTGCACTGCTCTGACCAAAGCTTTCCAAGGATGTTGGGCTCTCCACTTCCTGTAACACATTCTTGCTGGGAGAGCAGACAGCTCGACTTTCTGTTGGACACAGAACAATTTTTAGCCCTCAGCAGGTTTCTTAGGCACAGAAAAAGACCTCTGGTGACTACATTTTATATTCTGGGTAACTGGAACCAGTTTGGCTTTTTCATGGGCTGAGCAGGGTAGTTGTAGTTCCCCAGAATGCAGAGGTACAGGGGAGAGGGATAAGCCTCTCCAGGAGGCCTGGGGCTTTGGGGAATCAGGCTCTGCTCTCCTTCTGGGTATAAGTGGGAGGAGCTCCCAGCCCAAGGCTCACTTCCTTGAACCCCTATCCCACACCCTGGAGTTCACTGTGGTCTTTTCTCTCTTACTGGGTTCTGAGCTAAACTGAGGCCTGGCCACACTCAGGTTCACCAGCCAAACTGAACTGCTGCTTAGCCTTCTTGGTTCAGACTCAGGTCAGGAGTTCAGGAAGTGCATAGATACAAAGAGCTTCCTGCTTGGAGCCCTCCCACATCAGGAGCAGAGTCAGCTCTTCTTAAGAGACCCCAGACCAGGAACCCATCTGCACTGAAGCCAGTGCACCATAAAGTTTTGTCTGCTGTGTGTTTAAAACATACTCAGAACCCAGCCTCTCTTTTTCCATCCTTCGGCTTTCATACCAATTCAATCCACCTCACCTCTCCCTGACCCAAACAAGAACCCTGTTAATATGTAGCCTTTTGTGACTGGCTTGCCCATAGTAATGTTTTCAAGGTTCATCCGTGTTGTAGTATATATCAGTGCTTCATTTCTTTTTATGGCTGAATAGTATTTCACTGTATAGAAATACCACATTCTGTTCATCCATTCATCAGTGGATGGGCACTTGGGTTGTTGTCACCTTTGGCTTTTATGAGTAATGCTGCTCTGATAGCCCACTTCTATAAAAACATCTTAAAAAAATTATGTATGTTTCAAAAGTTATAAATAACACCTGGCATGTAATAAGGACTCAACCATTCTGGGAGTGCAGTGACGTCATCCCCACTTCATTTATAAAGAAACAGCCTCGGAAAGGTTAGGGCCTCACACAGCTAGAAGGCAGCTTCCGAGCCTGCCTTCAGCCATGGAGGTTGGTGAAGATGGGGATGGGAGTCACCTTCTGCTTCTCTCCTCGCCTCTGCTGCCCTCTGCCCCCTCTCTCCTCCCAGGTGTTCAGAGTGTAGAGGTGCAGTTGGAGAACCAGATGGTCCTGGTGCAGACCACCCTGCCCAGCCAGGAGGTGCAGGCCCTCTTAGAAGGAACGGGGCGGCAGGCGGTCCTCAAGGGCATGGGCACTGGCCTATTGCGTGAGTATCCACTGTGACCTTGGCCTTGCCTTTCTGGGAGGGAGGTGGCCTGGGCTGGTATAAATATGACCATAGGATGACGTGGCTTTGGGTTGGAGAGGCTTTGGAGAAGGTGTGAAAGTTATGTGGGACTCTCTCCATGCCCTTCCCCAGCTGATGAAGGGGTGGGGCTGGGTGAGGTGGCAAACCAACCCAGGTGTCTGATACCTTGCAGAGAATCTGGGGGCAGCAGTGGCCATTCTAGGGGGACCTGGCCCTGTGCAAGGGGTGGTGCGCTTCCTACAGCTGACCCCTGAGCGCTGCCTCATTGAGGGAACCATTGATGGCCTGGAGCCTGGGCCACACGGACTCCACGTCCATCAGTTTGGGGACCTCACAAGGAACTGCAACAGGTAAGTCATCTGTAACCTCCCTTGTAGCATCTACATCCCCCCAAGTTGTGTACTCCCTTTCACTTCATCCTCATAAGTACCCTGTAAGGCATGTACACACAGGCCCAGTCTACAGGTGAGGAAACTGAGGCTCAAGGAGGTTAAATGATTTGTCAAAGGCCCCAGAGCATGTAAATAGTAGAGTGGGAATTTGAACCAAAATCTGACCTTGATATCCCTGCTCATAGCCACCTTACTGCCTCTGAGATGGAAGATGACTCCTGGACAGGGAAAAGGCAGGTCCCTGTGTCATGGTGTTTGTCATGCTATGATACTATTAGTTGTTTACTAATAGTTGTTTACTAATAGTATCATTAGTTGTTTACTTACTGAGGGCAGGACCCATGTTTTAGTCTTCTTAGTGCCCTCAACCCAAAGCATGACACAGAGAGGGCCTATTTGTTGAGTGAATGAAACAAATGTAGTTAAAGTAAGAGGATGGCTCACCTGGCCTGTGAGCTGCTGTTTCACTGCCCACCTGCTACCTTTTCTTCTTAGCTGTGGGGACCACTTTAACCCTGATGGAACATCTCATGGGGGCCCCCAGGACTCTGACCGGGTAAGTGTCCAACTCTGCGAGGCTTGGGCTGAGACAGAGCCCAAGGTCTCAGAGGCAGGGCGGGCAGCTCTTGGGGCCTTCGAATAAGATTCCTTTTTGGTGGGGTCTTTTCCCGTCACTTAATTTTGGTCCAGTTAGAAGCATTTATTGACACTTGCTAAGACCAAGGCCTGCCCCCTGGAGCTCACAGCCTGGAGGGGGAGATCGCTGAGCACTCTGGATGCAGCATAGTGAGATAATCCTGGTTGGAGGCCCTGGGAGCCCAGAGCAAGCACCTGATTCAGCCTGAGGGGCATGGGCAGTGGGAAAGCTTCCTGGGGAAGTGACACTGTAGAAGTTGAAGGTTTTACCTAGACTAAACAGGCCATTCCCCATGCTCCAACTCCTGGCCCTGGAGTTTCATTCCTCTCCCCCACCCCTCCACACCCTGAAGTGTTTTCCCCTCGACAGTGAGTCATGTGCTGCCTTAATGATTTTTTGCCTTATCTGAGTAACTGCTTGTTACTCAATGTTTTGATTTAAATTGACTCATTGTTTTTCCTTAAATTTAGTTATTTCTAGTGCTTCAATCTGTCATAAAGTGTCAAACATATCCCAAAGTAGGGAAACTACTGTCCTGAACCCCAGGTCCCTATTACCCAGCTTCAACAGCCAGTCCTATTTTAGCTACACCTCAGCCCTGCTCCACCACTATTTTGAAGCAAAGCAAGACATTATTTCATGTAAGTAAGGTAGATTGATTCTTAATGAGAAACTTGACATTACCACAAAGAATTAAAAACCAGTACTTCTAGCCTTAATAGAAGGCTCATTATAGAAATAAATCAGTTCAGGCTTAAAATGTGTTCTGTGTCCTGCCAGGGACTGCGGTCCCTTTATCTTTGTTAAAGTGATTCTAAATGTTAGAGAGGTGCTAAAGGCCTGTCAACACCAAATGGAAACTGTCCTAGATGTCAAAGCAGTGATTTAAAATTTCCTAATGCCCTGTCCTCACACTCACACACCTAATACCATCTCCTGTGTGTTTCCCCTACGTGAGTTTCAGTACCAAGTAGGCTCTGGGTCCTGGTCCTGGGATCTGGGGACTCCTCTTTACGACCCCCCAGGATTGACAAGCCTCCTTGTTTTTTGTTTTTTATCTTGATGAAAGTTTGCATCATTCTGCCACAAAACAAATAAAACATGGTGTGTGTTTTTAATTCATGTAACTGGTATTTTTGGACTTTTGACAGCTCTGTCACATTTCTCATGGTCAAAAGTTTTTACTCATTCCCCCCCTTGGAAAAGCCTTTCTGTTGGTGCATTGCACAGTGCCATGCTTGTGTTTAGTGTATCAGTTATCTATTGTTGTGAATCAAATTACTCCAAATTTAGTAACTTAAAACAACAAGCATTTATCATCTCACAGATTCTCTGGGGAGTTTAGCTGGGGGCCCCTGGCTTAGGGTCTCTTACAGGCTGCAGCCAAGGTTTTGGCTGGGCTGCAGCCATCTCAAGGCTCGAGGTAGGGAGGATCTGCTTCCACATGGGCTCATGTTGCTTTTGGCAGGCCTTGGGGCCTCTCTGGCTGTTGGCCAGACATCAGTCCTTTGCCACGTGGGCCTCTCCCTGGGGCAGCTCACAGTACAGCAGCTGGCTTTCTTCAGAGCAGGGGAGTGAGAGAGGGCATCCAAGACTGAAGCCACACTCTTTTTGTAACTTAATCTTGGAAGTGATGCTAGGTCCAGCTCACCCTCTGGGGAGCACATAAGGGTGTGAATACAGGGAGGTGCATCTTAGAGGCTGTCTTCCTCACTGAGCCGTGAATGGTGCTGAGCAGGAATTAGGCAGGTGGCCAACATGAGTGGGAATGGCAGGCAGAGCCCTCGAGACATGAACCAGCGAGGAGCATCTGGGAACTGGCAGCTGTGTCTCTTATGAAGGTTTTTGAAGGGCAAGAGACCACCTTGCAACTTATGCGCTAGCCTGGGCCCCTCTCAGGGCCAGGAATCAGAAGGAGCTGGAGCCAGCTGGTTTATTGTGCCCAAGCCCTTGATATAGACAGCAGAAGACGAGTAAGATTTGCATGGCCAAGGCCACCATGACGTCTGGCAGGTTCCTTTTGTGTGTGTGTTTGTGTTTTAAAATATATTTTTATGATTTCAGAGAGAGGAAGGGAGAGGGAGAGAGAAACATCAATGATGGGAGAGTCATTGATTGGCTGCCTCCTGCACGCCCCCTGCTGGGGATGGAGCCCACAACCCAGATGTGCCCTGACTGGGAATCGAACCTCGACCTCCTGGTTCATAGGTCGATGCTCAACCGCTTAGCCACACGAGCTGGGCTTGTGTGTGTTTTTGTAATCCTCATCCGAGGAAATTTTTTCCATTGCTTTTTATAGAGAGTGGAAGGGAGCGAGAGAGTGAGAAACATTGATGTGAGAGAGACATATCGATCAGTTGCCTCCTGCACATGCCCCAATCGGGTCCAGAGATCGAGCCAGCAACCAAGGTATGTGCCCTTGACCGGAATTGAATCTGAGACTCTTCAGTTCAGAGGCCTGCGCTCTAACCACTGAGTCAAAGCAGCTAGGGCTAGTAGGTTCCTTTTGGATTTCAGCAACTGGTTTTGGCCAGATGGAAATGAGTTCAATGTGAGAATTTACATCCAAGCCTGGCTGTCCCATTGCACATCTCCTAAGTGGTCTCAGCTTTCTTCCCTTCTCTTCTTGTCCCCCTCCAGTCCTTTCTCTTCATACACTGTACTGGAGTGATTGCTCCAAAGCATGGGGTCACCATGTCAAGCCCCTACCTGAGGGTACAGGCTCTCCCAGGCTACTTGGTGTGACATTTGAGGCCACCCTGCCCAGTTTCACCCACCATGTGTAGGGGAGGGACTGGAAAGGCTGCCTCTTCTTACCCTCTGCTGCTGGGTTTACCTCTGAGCCACACTGCCCACTGCTGGTCCCTTAGCCAAGTCCTGAAAATGATCCCCAAAGTTCTATGTTGTTGCCTCCCCATCCTTGATCTTCCTACCACAAAAGCCCAACACAGGACGTAACAAAGGTGCCAGGTATAAGCAGCAGGTATCTCTCTGGAAAACAAGATAAAGCAGAAGTAGCTCTTCCTGCTGCTTGTTGAACCCATCATGCAGGGACATGCTTTGTGACCACGCTTTGCAGCAAGGCCTTGTGTAGGTATAGGCCTTGCTGCAAAGCGTGGTCACAAAGCATGTCCCCCTATAGGCCCCCATAGGTATACGCACTTGCTTCTGCCCCAAGTGTCAGGTTGGGGACAATTTATTTGCACAGATGTGAGTCTCTGTGATTCATCAGTAATGTCCTGTCACCGAGATACACAGAGTTATACTAACCCTGCGTGTCATAATCACTCATCTGCTCCATATCTGGCTCCCACCAAGCTGTGAACCCTTGAGGGTAGTGACTGCATGTGCACCCCCATTCCTGGCAGAGGGTGTCTGGTTTAGGAGGTGCTCAATAGGTGTGTTACAACATTTTTATTACCTTCCAGGGAAAAGATAGGCAGAGCCAGCTTCGGGGAGGGGGGCAGAACAGGCCCTTTGCCCCTGTGTTTCCTCTCTCTGTTCCTGGAGGCTGGATGTCAGGGAAGGGATGCTGGCTGCCTCTGATGGTCAGGAAGCCAAGTTCGGCCAGCATGAGCTTATGGGAACTGCAGGTTGCCAAGGGCTCACAGAGTCATCAGGAGGCTGGAGAACCAGGCTTGGAAAGGAGTGGGACCTGGGCTGGCTTCTAAGACCAGGATGCAAGGCTGCGCAATGGCCTTGTAGGAGAAACAGTCTCGTCCAGTGGGCAGGACTTCCTAGGAAGGGGGTCACTAGCTGTTTTCAGTGCACTGTCATCCTGCCCAGGATTTCAGTTCCAGGGAGGAAGCGTCCAGTTGGCTTCCTTGTGCCCTGGGCCATCCCTTCATCCTACCTGACTGGTGCTTTTGGGAAGGGGACTCAGATACTGGGAAGCCAGGACCTAGCAGCTGGGCCCCACGTGCTCTTTCCTACTGGGTCTCATTGCAGCACCGGGGAGACCTGGGGAACGTCCACGCTGATGCTCATGGCCAAGCCGTCTTCAGGATAGAGGATGAGCAGCTGAAGGTAAGGTAGAAAAGCAAGTGGGGCCTTTCCTCACAGGTAGGTCTACTATCTGAGGCCATTGTCTCCTCTCAAAGGTGTGGGATGTGATTGGCCGAAGCCTGGTTATTGATGAGGGAGAAGACGACCTGGGCCGGGGTGGCCATCCCTTATCCAAGATCACGGGGAACTCAGGAAAGAGGTGGGTAACGCCACCCCGGGCAGAGGCTGTGCTCTGCCAGCCGTGCATGTGGAACCCACGAGGGGCCCAGACTGGTGCCCCCTCTTGACCGCACATTCTTCTGTAGGTTGGCCTGTGGCATCATTGCACGCTCTGCTGGCCTCTTCCAGAACCCCAAGCAGATCTGCTCCTGTGATGGCCTCACCATCTGGGAGGAGCGAGGCCGGCCCGTTGCTGGCCAGGGTCGAAAGGAGCCGGCTCAGCCCCCTGCGCACCTCTGAGCAGGGCCTCAGCCTCAGGTCCTCACTGTCCTCCACTGGATGCCATGCTCCTCCAGGGGCGGGGAGGCCCTTCTGCCCGGCCCGAGGAGAACGAGGGCCTGGGGTGTGCAGGGGTTGCTGTGATGCTCCCTTAGCAAATTAAAATTTTATTTTCATATGGAACTCTGTGTTATGTCCTTGTTCCCATGTCCCTTGGACGTGGTGAACAGTCCCTCTGCCTCTGCCCTCCCCTTCGAGGGCGAGCTCCTGACTTTTGGAGCCAAACAAAACTGGATTTAAGTCCACATACCTCCTGAGGGCTGTATCCTCCTCAGGATGACAACAAAGGGCCACAGCAGTCATATTTCTCCCTGTGCCGTCTCCCTCCCTCACCGTGGCTGTTGGAACTCAGTGGACACTGATCTGTGCAGAGCTCCCTCTCTCCCTGAGAAGTCCGAGCAGATCCAGCTTGAGTTTCTCCCTGTGGTTAGAGCTGGCATGTGGGACGTTGGGAATGGCGGGTGGTCTCTCCTCTCTACTGTGTCGACTGAGTATCAGAAAAAGCTTGCCTGCTGAGGAGGAGGAAGGAGGTGATGCACAGGGAGAACCGAAGAGTTGCTGGACAATGCTAGATGCTCCGGAGTCCCTCACTCTGGGCCCTTCCTGAGGCCAGCTACCTCCTGACCCCCAGGGGGTCAAGAGATACTCCTGTGCACACCCCCCGCCTTTTAAAAAAGTAATCTGTCCTGAGTTGATTTCTTTACTTATAAGTAAAAGAATTAATAAGTGAAGTGCTTGGCAAGGGCCTGGCACATAGTAAGTTAAAGGAGCAGTGGCTGTGATTCTGAGGCCAAACGGGGCCCTGGAGGCAGCCCCAGTCAAGCTCCCCTCTCACAGAGATGGCTCATACTCAAGGTCTAGTGTGTGGGGCCAGGGATTCTGTGTCTCCGCACTCATCTGCTTTGCCCCCCACCCCCACTGGACAGTGTCAGGCTTGCTCATCCATGACAAAGCTGCTCTTATGACACGGTGGGCTGTCAGAGTGCAAACTTTGCCCTTGATGCTGCCTGCATGGAACCAGGTGGGTGGTTTTACAGTTAGTTGGCCTTGGCTGAGATATGCCTGGCTCTGTTCCCATTCTCCGGGCCCTGCCTGGTTCCCCCTGAAGGCTGCTGGCTGTGCCTCTAGCCCCAGCCCTTGGACCCTGCTCTTGCCTAATCCATGCTGGTTGCTTTCCAGCTCTCCTTGTTTCCTGGGGAACCAAATCCTTTTAATCCTGGGGCCCAGGCTGTCTTTCCCCATGTCCGCCTCATGGGGAAACTCCTCTTGGACTCTGCCCACAGCCAACCCCTGACTTCCACTCACCTTCCTGCTGGATTTAACCCTTTTATGGCTAAACTGCTCACCATACTACTGTTTTGACTCCTAAGGAATCAACATCCCCATTAGCTTTTCTTCTAAACTCTTAACCGATAGTTTGCAAACTTTGTTTTTAATCACAGAATACTGTCCAAACATCTTGAAGCCCCATCTCTAAAGCAGAAGTGGACTGTTCTGGGGCTCCAGGGAGCACAGTTTGAAAATCTTTGCCAAATTCAGGCATTTTTGCCATGTCCGCAAACCATCTGTACTATCATTTACCAAATACTTTTCTTTAAATTGACTCACTTTTAAACTTATGTAAAAAGGAAACTGTACTCATATTTGCTAATACCACACTTATACAGTGATTATTAAGTGCTAGCCTCTGTTCTAAGCACTTTACATGCAGTAATTAATTTAATCCTCATGACAATACTACAAGGTAGGTTCTGTTACTTTCCCATGTTACAGATGAGGAAACTGTAGCACAGAGTGGTTATGTAACTTGCCCTACGTCACACAGTAACATAGCTCAGGTGGTCTGGCTCCAAGTCTGTGCTCTTAACCACTATATATAGGGTGTTCCAAAAAAATGTATACACACACATTGAATAATTATTAAGGCAGTGTCACCCTAGCTGGTTTGGCTCAGTGGTTAAAGCGTCGGCCTGCATACTGAAGGGTCCTAGGTTCTATTCTGGCTAAGGGCATGTACCTTGGTTGCAGGCTCAAACCCCGACCCCAGTTGGGATGGGTGCAGAAGGCAACCAATTGATGTGCCTCTCTCGCATTGATGTTTCTCTCTCCTCCCCCTTCCACTCTGAAAAGCAATGGAAAAAATATACTCGGATGAGGGTTAAAAAAAAAGTTACAAAGGCAGTGTTTATTAAAATACATTTCATTTTCAAAATTAAGCCATCAGCTGTTAGTATGTATACATTTTTTTTGGGACACCCTGTATATTTGTTCTCATTGTAAAGTATGGAAAGCAAGATTCGTGTCATAAACAGAAGTTTGCTAGAAAAAGAACATACATAGCTATTAAAAATTGTTCAGCAGGAACTGCCCCAAATTGTGTGTAAATTCAGCGGCTTTTGCACTGCAATTCAGGGAACCCAAACACTTTCTTTGCCCCCTGTTCTCTCAGCCACCATTTATTACCTCTCCCTTGCCACAGCTGCTTTCTCAGTGGCCCCAGCACCCAGCCTCACTGTCCTCATGTCTTAGGGACCTCCTGTCTCTTCTGCCCTCCTCTCCCTGGGTTCACCCCTTCTGGCATTCCATTCTCAGTTCTGCCTGGGATTCCACATTGTGGGTTTGTAGAGCTGTGAACACTTGAAGAACCTTCCATTGTCCCTGAATTCTGGCAGATAGGCCCTACTGGAGTCCTCTTCAGAGCAGTGGCAGAGCCTCTTCTCAAGGACTCCTGGCTGTTTCCACTACCAGTGGCTCTCAAGAGGGTACCCTTGTGGTCCCGGTTCCAGCATCATGAGTGTCACCTGGAAATGTTTGGAATGCAAGTTCTGGGGCTTTCACTCCAGATTTATTAATCACAAACTGTGTGGGTGGGTAAAAAGAAAATAATTTGAAAAAGAACAAGGAGGGGTAGGGGAGAGGAGGAGAAGATGAAGAAGAAAAGGAGAAGAAACAAAAAAATTAAATGAATTTAAAAAAAAAGAAAAAGAAACTGTAGTGAAGCCTAGAAATCTATCTCAGCCTTCCAGGTGATTTTGAAGCATATTAAATATTGAGAACTACTAGTCTTGACTTTTTTAAAAACTCAGGGCCGCCTGGCCAGCTGGCAGTTGGTTGGAGCATCACTGTCCTGTGCTCCAAAGAAAAGGTTGCAGGTTCCATCCCTGGTCAGGGGCATAGGGGAGGCAACCAATCAATGTTTCTCACATTGGTGTTTCTCTCTCTCTTCCTCTCTCTAAAAATCAATAAAAACATATCCTCAGGTGAGGATTAAAAAAAATAAAAATAATAAAAAAATTAAAAGTTCAGGGCCCAGCATCCTCTCAGAGGGCTGTCTGCCTGCTGCTCCCTATCCTGGTGCTGGAGTAGAGATCAGGACTATCCTCCAGCCCCCAGAACTTCCCTGTAACTTAAATACATGCATATCACCTACTTAAGGTATCTTAGCCAGAGATGGAGAGGAGATTATACCTAAAACCCTCAGTAAAGGAAGCACCATAACAGAGAGAGAGAGCTCAGCTTTCAGGCAAAGAGGAAAATGCTCTGGGTTCCCTGGGTCTGATTGTCCAATAATATCGCTATCAATTTCAGCAGGAAAGAATCCTGTCACAGTGGTTATGGTGTACATTAGTGGTATCAGTGCACTGAAAAGACTATTAGCATTAGTGATTGCTTTTTTATTTTTTTTAAATTACTATGATAGGCTGATAATGGCCCCAAAGTTATCAGGTCCTAATCCCTAGAAGCTGTCAATGTTAAGGGTCTTTGCAGATGTGATTAAAGATTTTGAGATGAAATTATACTGGATTATCTGGATGGGCACTAAATGCTGGGTAGGCAGGTGCTCCAGGCATGCATTGGGGGAAGGGTAGGGGTCCTTGCCAACCTGCAGTGTGCAGGATAGTATGGCATAATGAAGACTTGTCCCATTTTCTGCACAACTTTCAAATGCCCCACTGGATATACTTGTATGTGAAAAACATGTTTATAATTAGAACTTCATTTATTAATTGTTTTATATATAAACAACAAAGCATTTCTGGTACAATTTTAATAGACAAAAAAATTTCCTGTTCTTTGTTTGATTTGGAATATTATTAAGAGTTGTTGCCCTGGCTGGGTAGCTAAGTCGGTTAGAGCATTGTCCTGATACACCAAGATTGTGGGTTTGATCCCTCGTCAGGGCACATACAAGAACTAGCCAATGGGTGCATATAAGGGGAGTAGCAAATTGATGTCTCTCTCTCTCACTCCCTTTCTATCTCTCTAAAAAGTAAATAAGTTAGTTAATTAAAATACCAAAACAGCCCTGTCCAGTTTTGCAGTTTTGCTCAGTGGTTGGAGCATCGGCCCGTGGACTGAAGGGTCCCAGGTTCAATTCCTGCCAAGGGCATGGACCTTGGTTGCAGGCTTGATCCCTGGCCTCTTTCGGGGCACTTGCGAGAGGCAACCAATCAGTATATCTCTCTCCCATCAATGTTTCTCTCTCTCCCTTCCACACTCTCTGAAAAGCAGTGGCAAAAATGTTCTCGGGTAGGGATTAAAATAAATAATAAAGAAATAAATAAGAATAAAATACCAAAACAAACCATTGCTTAAAAGAAAAAAAAAGTAGTTTACCATTTTGGAGAGTGGTATTGCCAGTGGCAATGGCAAAAGTACTTTTTGAGTTGCCAGTGCGATGCCTTTGTATCAGTCTGCATTTGTAGCCAAATAGAAGACATAGTTCATTACAGATATTTCATATGATATTATTTTATTAGAAATGTCTTTCCTTTTGGTTCTCCTTTTTATTACAGTTAAGGTCATTTGGGAAGCCACGATGGGCTAGTTATGTCTCTGGGCTCCCACATGAGAGAGAAAGCTTCAGGGAAAGTCTAGCATCATTATCAAAGAAATTGATGCATTGTGGGTGTGAGGTATGGTGGAAACCTAGAGGGGTGAATTTTATTTTTGTTTTTAATCACATACAGGACATTATAATTCGAATTGACTGTTGTTTCAGAAACTAGAAGAATGCCTGGCAGTTAGTAGGTGCTTAATAAAATTCTACTTGGGCTACTATAGGTTCTTTTTATTTGACTTACAATAGAATTCTGTAGCAAACTTTTCTAGTAGCTCCATTT